GCAATAAAATTTGTAATAACATCAAAATCAGTCAAAGTCGCAGTTTTCGAGATATTAACATATTTTAGTATGGGCGGCTGGCTATACGTGCCTCCCGGCGCCATTTTTTTTTAATGAAATGCTGTATGTGGCATTTGCAGAATTCCTTATTCTTATAAAAAAATCCTATTCTAAAAATACCCATAAATTAATATAATTTTTAGACGCACTTTAGGATCACTTTTAAGATTTTATCTAAAAATCTGGAAAATTACAAACGATTAATATTTCTCCATTGATGATATTAAACTCTCTATTTTTGTTAATATGATGACACTATTATAAAAAACACATTAAAGTGTCCTATTTTTTTTACTTTTAGTCCTATTTCATGATTTTTTTAACAACCTGTATATAAAATCTATCAACTTTAATTCTTAAACTCACTTTTTTATAAACTTTAGTATCTAGCTTATTATACAGGGTTAGTTGAAAGGTTGTTTTTACCCTAACTTTAAAACACCCTATGCAATAATTTCGTGAGTAGATTTTCCTAAAACATTATTTTTCGATCAGAACCATGTCTCCTGAGCGTTTTGTTTTTTGACTCATGTCAACACATACCTTGCAAAATTTTTAAGAGCGAAATGAACTTGCCATCAACGATTTACAATTTTTTCCAACTATCATTACTTTATGATATTACTTTTTATTATCAGGAACTGGATTTGGTGACTATTACCGTAATGTCATATCGACATTTACAACTCTATATTAAAATTTAAAAAACGTTAAAAAGTAATGATATAGGCTTGGTTGTAATAAATATTAGTAACACTAACAGAACTAAGGATAATGAAAAAAATAACTGTAATCACTAAATGTACAAACAAACAAAAGAGTAAAGTAAAGTAGAGTAAAAAACAACTCATGAGTCAAATACCAAAAGTTATAATAAACTAAGTTTATGAAGTTGATATATTTATACACAGCTTGCTAAAAAAAATCAAGAAAATAGAGCTAAAAATAAAAAATATAGCTTTTGAAACTTGACCAAAAAATTTTTCCGTTTTTTTTTTACATTTGTGAGTCTTTCAATAATTAATAATAATAAATTATTTATATAATATGCTGCTATCTCGTTACCCGATTTTTTTGCCAAAAAAAAGATTGATGCAAGAATCTTGAATAACAACCTGTTTGGATTTAGTTCTGAATACCGGGACACACTGTAAATGGAGGTGCACGTGAAATTGAAATATTATTTTCTTTAAATAAATTATCCTTAATGAATCATGATATTAACTGTTTAATTTTGTTTCTCTACTTTTAGAACAACAGCAACCTTCAAAATGGCGGACGATGAGGTTAGGTAAGTAAACAAAGTTCTAATCTTAGTCACATTTATAATATAGTTTTCTATTTTTATTTTCATGTTCTACAGTATGATCGCAAAAAGCAGTCGCACTTCATAAAATTAAAAGGTAAATACCTAACAAGCATGTGTGTGTTGTGTTGTTCAAATTCTTTGAAGATTTTGTAGGTTACAATTGGAATATATACAGTATGATCGAATAAAAATGACGTTACAGGAAGTTAGAATAACATAGCACGTGAACCCTCAAATTTAATGGTTCTTTCTTCTTCAAAGAGGATTTGTCACAGATTTGAATTCTGATACAAAAATTATGCTAGTTTTTCATAACTGGTGTTAATGCTCAAATACAGGGTGTTTCAAAAAATGTGTGCCATTTTTCGTGGGGCTATTTCTTGTGTAAAAATAAGATTTATCTTTTATATCAATATTGGTTTGGTTTTTTTCGTATCTACAGGGGGTTAAAGTCTTAACTTTTATTCGATTTATTATAATTTTCTTCTAAGTGCTTTTAGAGATTTGAATAAAATTTTGAGGGTAAAAGTTACTATAAGTGTTACATATTTTAGTATTAAAAATGTGTCGGCAGATTCACCAGGACGTGCATATGGATTAATACTGTGCGCCACTGTTTTTTCTTTTTTTATCAAAATTTGTATAGACCATTTAATGCCTGGTAAAAGTTGTATCTTGATATTTTGTCGATTTCGTTTATAAGAACTTTCTTTTATATTTTTTATGAGGAATCAATGAGTACTTATTTAATAAAAAGCTAAATAAAAATTTAATATCATTAACTTTGGCCAGTTAATGAAGTAATAATAATAATATAATATATATATAATATTAATATATATATAACTATAATTGTGTTTGGTTTGCTTTGGAGACTGAAATAGACCAAATATCAAGAGAAAACTTTTAATCAGCATCAAAAACACAACAAGAGAAAAAAGCCAGTGGCGCACAGTTTTTAAAAAAAATAAATTAAAAAACTTTAACCCTCTGTAGCTAGGAGACGAAGCAGAATCTCAAATGTAATATCTATTCTTACTGTGGCATTGTTTTTATTCGATTACACGGTATATAGTTTATAAGTTGAAATTGCAGATTTTTTATTGTTATTTTTTAATTAGTTTTTTCTAAAATGTCAAATACCTAATAACAGAATTATTGTTAATAAACTCTTTCAAAAATGTGTTTATTTCAACTGATTGAACTAGATTGATAGTTAGACGTTTCTGTCAGCTTCAATTTTAAGTTACCCTACTAAGGGGGAGAATGTTTGGCTGCATATATATAGATGCCAAAAAAGCAACTAGGACATAAAAGCTGTACATATTATACCGCTTATATATAAAAGAAATGTAGAGGAAATGGTTATGTATTATGCCTGGCTTCAGTAAGTCTATTCTTGTCTAGGAACAAGTGGACGTAATAGTTTGTTTCATATTTTTAGTGTTTGTGTTATTTTGACTAACCCTGTATGTTTCTATTATCATATAAATCTAAAATAAGATAAACAGCTAAACTCCACATAATCACTATTACATATCTACTACTTCTGTCATATGTATACCATTCGTACCTTTTGCTATACATATTTTCCTAATTTATTTATAAAACATTTTTAACATACTTTTGCTATCAAAAATATCTATGACTGAGTGGGTTTTGACTTTCTTTCGTTAAAATATTTTAATATAATTTTCATTAGAATTTATTGTGTACGTGTTATAATACAAAGCACATTTGATCATAGAACTTTTGATAATATTATATGTTTACACATGTTTTTTTTTATTTAATTGCACAATATAACATAAATCTGTTTGACAAGAGAATATTCTAGCATCCCAAATCATTTTATTGCGACAGAATGAACAAAATTACTATTGTTCAATTCATAATTTTTTATACTATACAGGGTGAGGTTTAACTAAGTGCAAATACTTTTGGAGTGGTATATTTAGGCCCCAGAAACACATCTATGAGGTTTTTTACGATTTTTTTTGAAAATTTTGAATTTTCTAAAAAAAATATTTTGATTTTTTTAATTAAGTTAAAAAACATAAATAATATCTTCATAATATGGCAACATAAGTTGTAATTAAATTTACAAAAAAGAAATCCCAGAGAAGATACAGTGGTTCTCAACATTTAAGCAAAAAATATTTTTTTACTTAAATTTTCAAAGTATAATAACTCGGTTATTTTGGAGTTATTTGAAAAACGGTAAAGAGAAAATATGTTTCTTTTAGTGAGATCTACCCGCCCTAAAATATTTGCAATTATTTAAGACTCTGTATATGGAGTATTTAGGGGAAAATTAATGAACTGCCATTTATTTCTTTTCTTTTTGTTGAGCAAAAATATTTATTTATGTTAATAACAAAAATATTTTTTAATTTAATCAAAATTTCTTATTAAATTATTTTTAACAATAGAATAAAATTTATGGGGAACCTAGAATATTTTCGTTTTAAGTTTTTGACATCACCATAAACATTTTTAACACATTAAACACATAAAACATACATTATATTATTTTAACTCAAAGTTAATTTGTGTATTTTTCTATTTTTTTCAGAAAAAGAAGTTGGAAGAGGCATGTAATCCATTGAAAAAAAATAACGAAACAACAAATAATATCTATTATGGATAGATATAGAAGATTATGACGGAAAACTAAATAAAAACTAGTTAAATTATTGCACTATTGCAAGGCTAATATTTAAAAAAAAATCAAACGTCACAAAAGTATTAATTTTTGCCACGTGATTGACAATATTAAAAAGTAATTTTAACGCCTAGGCATAAAAGTAAAGCAGTATTTTTACTCTATATCAACTGTCACGAACTACGTGATGACATTTTACATGTCATCTTTTACTGATTTCCCTATCTACTTTTCTCAGGAAATTTGGTCTTTTGCTCTCATGAAACCAGTGGTTTTCGAGATACTCTCTCAAAATTAAAATAAATGAGATCTTATAAAAAAATTCTGGTGTACTATAGTATTTTTTTTACTGTAATTTAATTAACCTCAAAGTATTTCAAGCTAAAATAAAAATAAAATAATCTTAAAAAGTGGGTATTAAAAAATGCTTTGAACTGATTGAGAAGCCCATTATGTGCAATAACTTTCCTAGTTTTATTTAACTTATAATTTAACTATCTTTTGAATAAAATATAGGAAAAGAAGAGGAAACAAGCTGAAATTGAACGCAAAAGGGCCGAAGTCAGGGCCCGTATGGAAGAAGCCTCCAAAGCCAAGAAGGCCAAGAAAGGTTTCATGACCCCTGAAAGAAAGAAGAAACTTAGGGTGAGTACATTCTTAATTCTAACAGTTGACTAAAGACACTATTAAACATATTTAAAGCCTATACTATTCTGAAGGGCTCATTTCTGAAAAGAATGCTACTTAAAATGAGTTAAGAAATGTCAAATTAAAAGTATAGGAGAGTAATATGGTCATGAAAAAGGGAAGACTTAAGACGGCGCTGCGGTAGCAAAAATCTTAAATTTAAAATATGCGCCGAAAAATTTGAACAGGAAATGATTCAAAAGCTTAGATCATATAAACTTACATGGATAAGTAAATCACTATGGAAACTGTCGCCAACATATCAACGATTTCTCGAATCTATCTTCTTTTTTTGTTGCACACGCGGTGCTTCTACTCTATCTATCCTTATCGAGAACCTATCGTCCGCGCGCCAAATTTGAACATTAATTTTAAAAATTTAATTCGTAAAATGCTTATATTTGAACAATAAATTGAATGTTTACTGTCACAAAAATTAAATTATATAAAAAATACATTGAGCCACTCCGTACGGATATCAATATTCTTAGGAAATCTAACCAGAAAGTATGCATGTGGCTTAATATAAATAAAAGAACAACTGATTAGACCTTTCACACACTAAACACTTTAGTAATTTTACGAGTATTTAAGTAAGTCCAACGAAAAAAGAAATATAGTTGCACTAACTTAAAATTAACACACTTGCATCCTTGGCTATATAAAAGCGGTCGATAAAAGAGTCATTAATACAATTTTTAAAATAAAAAACGCAAAAAACAAACATCATTATACAATGGAAATAAAATTTTGACAATATGATGACCATAATATATGATGACAATGATATGATGGTTTCCATAACATTGTATAATTTGTACTTTCTAAACCGTATAAAATTGTGATTATTTTGAAATACGTGCAACTTTTAATGCGCATGGGCAAAGTAAGGTCCTCGAGAAAGACACACCTATTGAACGTTTCATAAGTGCAAGAAAGAAGATTTGAAAATGGCATGTCGTGATGTTGGAGAGATATTTTTTAATTCTAAACTTATGGCGTTGATTTATCCACGTAAGATGATCTAGATTCAAAAGTCTAATTTGTTTATTACAATTTATTTTACATTAATTAACAAAACAATAACGATAAAACACTTAAAGAACTATTTACAAACTTATTTAAAGAGGAATGTATGTTGCCATTTGGAACCAACTTAGTATCTTTATTATGTTTAAATTGACTATACCCTATAATAGCAAAACTGCCAAAACCAATTTGGTTGTTTATATGGATTTTATTAAACAAAAAAAATATTCGTTTGCAGTTATTGTTGAGAAAGAAAGCCGCTGAAGAACTGAAGAAGGAACAAGAAAGGAAAGCAGCGGAAAGGAGACGTATCATTGAAGAAAGGTGTGGTAAACCTAAAATAATTGATGACGCCAATGAAGGTAAGGTATTTCATTTTATTTATATTAAACTTATTTATTTTACTCTTTATTTATCCATATATTGTGTCACTCATAATAACTGTTTTATTATTTTTTTCAAATCGTTTCTATTTTAGAAGTTGTAAAAATTGTTTAAACCGGCCATTATTTTTTTTTATTAAAAAGTAAATGTTTACTATACAGGGTGGTCCGAACTGTATTCGGGAAAAAAATTCTGCAGATAAAAATACGTAAAAAAGTTCGTTTAAATGTATATCCTAAAATGCTTCGTTTCGGAGATACAGGGTGTAGAATTTTAATTTTTATGTCGATTTTTTCAAAATAATTTCTGAACTAACTTTGACATTTGGATAAAAATTCGTGTGTGTGTAACTTGGTTTGGATAAAAACGGTTTTAATCAAGAGGCCTTTTTTACGTAAAAAATGGCGAAATGTATATTTTTTACTCAGTAGTTTTTGTTATACAAGTAAGAAAAAAAAGTTATTGCTCTTTAAACCAATCAAAAAATATGTAGGTGGGGCCTACAAGTATGACATCGAAATCCCATATTTCTGATGTCAAAAACACCCAGACACTAATTTTGATCCAAATATCCGCTATAGGTTGTATATAAAAATTTAAATTCTACACCCTGTATCTCTGAAACGATGCATTTTAGAGCATAGATTTATACGATTTTTTGGTTAGGTTATCTGCATAATGCTCCATTTTTTAGTTTTTTTTTCAAATTCCAAATTTTCAAAAACAAAAATTTTCGCGAAAAAACTCTCATAATCGTGTTTCTGGGGCCGAAATATAATACCCCTCAAAAATATTTGCGTTTATTTAAGATTAGCCCTGTATAATATCACAATTTTATACATTTGGAATTAAATTATTTCTTAAAATAAAAAAATTGAAAATGAAATAGATTGCTAGGTTGGTACAACCTCGAATTTTTTGAAGTTATAACGAAATCTTGCTAGATCAAAAAAAGAAAATAAAAGTATGTGTTAAGAAGTTAAGAATCATCAGAGAAGTTTGTAGAAAATAAATATACCATCCTGCTCACTTCATCTGCGTGGTCTGTATTTTAATGCATGAGAAAGAGATAAATATAAATGACCCGTTGACAGACAGAGAGACAAAATAAAAAGCGGCATACAGTGTTGCCGGTTTTTACGTGTGTAGGAAAATGTGTGTAGAAACAAAAAATAACTATTTTAAAAAATTTTCATGTATACTACTGAAATGAAAATAATATATCTAAGCTAAATATAATCTATTACAGCTGTAGTAAAATGAGTATCTAATTGTGAAAAATAAAGTTCCATCCCTAGATGCAACATTTTTCATAAACACCTCCTTGTGAGGTTCGAAATCTTGATGCAAAATCCGGCAATACCGCATAGAAGAAATGTATCACCCCAACTTTTATCACTTTTTAATACATTCGATTTTCCATTAAGCTGTCTTACATCACTGTCTTATACGTTAAAAATCAGACCACGCAGTTCCCATGACCAGATCGGTATATTATGTACAGGATGGTTCCAATTTTGAGACTCATCATTGGGATCTTGATCGAAACTACTTCTTATTTTTCTGATTCTTATCTCAATGGGCAGTTCCGAATTTGGTACAGCTTATACCTACACAACTCAAAATATTATATCTTATACTACCAGAAAAATAAAATAAAAAATAAGTAGACATAATAATAATTAAAAATGTAAAAATATATCAAAGACAAACTCCCACTTTATTTTTCAAAAAAACTACAGATTTGTAACTAGATATATTCGATTTCATGCATTTTATGGAGAATATTTTGCGCTATTGCTGACCTAGATCCTATTTCAAAATAGAGTGCAGAAACATAAAGCAAAAAAGCTTTCATTTTATACGGTTATTATGAGTGATCCAATACTTATCAAAGAGGCAGGCACCATTACTACTTATATCCAATTTATTGATCAAAGGAAAATTTTACTGGATAATTTCGTTTTTGTCACTCTCTTTTTTAATTGAGAACTGGAGTCTACATATAGGATTAACACGCAGCTTCCTATAAAATGTTTCTAGTTTAAGAGTATACAGGGTGGCCCATGAGTGCGAGGGAGTCCGATATCGTTGTTGTTGTCGAAGATTTGATTAAAATGTTTTATACACTGTTATTGCATAGTTTTAGAATAGTCCATATCCTAAAAATATTTTGTATTATACAGGGTGTAGCAAAAAGAGTTACGATAAAGTTTTAAGTATTTTTTATATTGCATCTTCTATTTTTCTGTAGATAATTGGATTCGGCATAAAATTCTGCATATATGACACTATTTTTATTTGAAGCACTATGCTGTGTGTTGGTTAAAAATATTATAATATCTGAAAAGTGGTTAACAACTTGAGTGAATTTAACTTTTTTAATACTGATCTATACTTCCCTAAACACCAAGGATAAAACAATATATCCACATAGAAAAGTTATAGAATACTATAGTCATAGAATGCTATATCTTTATATTTTTAAATATAACACCCTATATATTATTTTTCGTTTAGATGCAGACTTAAATAATGAACATTTTTTGTATTTAAAATTTTCCTAGGTTTTTAGCGGTTTTGCAGAGATTCGCCGTATTATATTATATAATCTGTACCTCAGAAACAAACTATGTCAACTCACAAAACATAATTTTGAGAAAAACGAATTTGAATTTCTTTTTTGAAGTTATTTCCTAATTACTGAGTTATTTTTAAATCTGTGGTTGTAATAGTTGGTATATGACTAACTTATTTTTAACCCTAATGAAATGTAAAACAGTTTTTTTTAATAAATTATACCAACATTTTTGGCGTGACTCAAATAAGGTTATATTCACTCCAGTTTTTGACAAATTTTTCGGATTGTGAGTGTAACCAAAGTTGGGCTTCAAATAAAAATAGTGTATCTACTATGTGGAGAATTTTATGCTGAATCCTATTATATTAAATAATACCCCGAGTATCTCCGAAACCGTTAAAAAAATTAAAATACTCTAAATACAAAAAAACATTTAATTTTTTAATTCCATCTATTAAAAAAGTAATATACAGCGTGTTCCATTTAAAAAAAACCTAAGAAAAATTATTTTATTTTTTAGAATGTTTCAAACAGAATTCGAACACTCTGTATGATTTAAGTTTACGATATTTATAGCAAAGTAAGTACAGACCATCAAAAGTAAATATCTAATGTGGTTTTGATTTTAGGACAATTCTTGTATTTTTGATATTTTTTTAAAAACGGCTAAAAATATATTTTTTTAATTTATTTATTTATATCACTGAAACTATCAAAACATATTTAAAAATATCTTAATTATGTGGAGCAATGAGAAAGGATACAAAAAATGCAATAATATACAGGGTGTACTATTTAAAAAAAAATCATCCCGATCCACTCACACTTTTTGAGTCACCCTGTAGAAGTTAAAATATTTTTCCTGAAATACATCCTAGTACATACTTTAGGTTTGCATTTAACCAAAATTCCCTAGTTTTTTATTCTAGGAATTACAGATGCCCGCCGATCCCTGTATATACTATTTATTAAAAATTCTTATAATACACAAATGTGTACAGTACATGATGCCTGTCTCATTTGACAATATTTATTTATTTTTTACCCAGTTTACAAACTTGATATACCCCATTTTTTAAACTTTTAAAATCGATCTATATCTCGTAATTTATATATTCTATTATATAGGTTATAAATGAATAAAAATATATCTATATACTTTCTGATAAATTATTAACGAATTAAATTTGTTGTTTTTACGTAACTTAGAACAACTTAAGAGTACGTTGAGGCACTATTATGAGAGAATAACAAAATTGGAAGATGCCAAATACGATTTGGAATACCTCGTTAAAAAGAAAGATTATGAGGTTAGAATAAGTCAAAAGCTAACAGGAAATTATAATGCACGATCATTGAAAAAGCCTAAGAAACGAATATAAAACCACATTTAAGAAGAAATTTAAAAAAAAATAAAACTTAAATGCTCATGATGTTATTGCCGAATTTTTCATAAATTCAAGGATCAGGTTATAAATGCATGTTGTAACTCACACGCACACTCTGTCACAACAGGAAATCACTTTTAATGAGCATTTAAGCATTTTAAACGGATATTATTACAGAAAATCTTTAAAAAATATCGTTGTAAAAATTCTTAAATGTGGCCATGACGAATTTTATATTTTTTCTGCACCATACTAAATTTTTAAGTTTTTTTTTTGAATGGGTACTTTTTAACAACCCTTGAACTTGTTTCTATTGAGAAGTACTCGACACTTCTTCTATATTGACTTTTTTGCTTTTTGCTTACTTTCTCTCTATTTTTCATTTATTTCTTTATTTTTTACTTTATTGTTTAAACGGTTTTATTTTTATTTTTATGGGAAAAAATAATTTGTAATTAAGAAATGGTGCCAAGAATTGCAAAAAAATATATTTTGATATTTTAAACTTGTCCGGTATTTTCAAAATTTTTCTAAACCTTTCAACATCGAGAAATACAGGGTTATTCACGGTAAGTGTCCTATTAAACATTTTTATTACGATAAATATCAAAATTTTTTGGCTTATACAGTGTGTCCCATTATGGACATAGACCTACTACATATTTTTGGAATCAAAATTAGTTCATTGGACACAATTTTATTTACCTCTATGCAAAAGTGCTTCGTTTGTCTGCTAGAGGGCGTCAAGCTTTAAAAAAATAAATACATTTTTCAGATATTTTAAGAACCGTTATTCCGATTTGAATGAGATTTTGGGTGTAAATTTTTTTTTTCTCAAAAAGTATGCGCGGTGGCACAAAAAAATGTAGTACATACTTGAAGAATCATTTTCAAGTCGTCAGTTGAGTTATAAAAAATTTATACTAAAATTTATGTAGAGGTGGGCGTACTTTTTACCCTTCACGTAATTAATAATTTTTCTTGGTTTTTGTAAAAGTCAAATGTTACAGCACTTAGCAAAATTAAATTACCCAAAATCTCATTCAAATCGCAATAACAGTTTTTAAAATATCTGAAAAAATGTTGATATTTTTTTAAAGTTTGATGCCATCTAACGGACAAACGAAGCACTTTTGTATAGAGGTAAATTGTGTCCAATGAACTTATTATTATTTGAAAAATACATAGTAGTTCTATGTCCACGGAATATTGGGGTACCCTGTATGTATAAGCGAATATCCAACTATCTCTATAAAATATATTTGATCTAATCTACTCGTAGCTATAACTACTTCTTTTTAAACACAACATCGTGTATACTATTGCTGCTTAGGATTTTACCATACGATCGAAAAAAAGCGGCGTCAAAGACGGCTAGGAAATTTCAGTCAATGATAATTTTTTCGAGGTCAATCCCTAGACGTCATTACTTGGCCCGTACTGCCAGTTGGTCTTAAGCAGGTTATAATTTATTTCTATATTGAGTAAAATTATTTTTAAATGTCGTAGTTTAAAATTCGAAAAAAAAAACATTTTTGGTGAACTAAGTACTATAAGAAAAAGTACTAAAACGTTATAGTACGAGAGCTAGCAACGTCGGAAAAACAAGTATTTTAAGACGTCTGGCTCTTTGATATATCTTTTACTATGCTTTCTAGAACAGCATGCGGCACGTCTGGCTGTCGGTAACGTTGCGTTCCCTACTGCGCATTGAAAGAAGATCCTATATTTTTATTAGTCCTTTAAATTCTAGTATTGAATATAAATCGAACATGTCTCCATAGTGCAGTGCATAGAGTTTCCGACCACGAACCAAATAAAAATAAAACACTTTTTTATTTTATTTTCGTTTATGTTCTGATTGTAAAGTATTAAATATGTTTTTTTTAATTACCAGAATTATTTAATACTTTACTATCAGAATATAAACGAAAATAAAATAAAAAAGTCTTTGTCCTGACCCGGATTCGAACTCTGAATCATCGGTTCGTGGTCGGAAACTCTACGCACTGCGCTATGGAGACATTATTCGTTCGATTTATATTCAATACTAGAATTTATAGGACTAAATTAATAAAAATATAGGATCTTCTTCCTATGCGCAGTAGTGAACGCAACGGGTATCGACAGCCAAACGGGCCGCATGCTGTTCCAGGGAGCATAGTAAAAGATATATCAAAGAGCCAGACGTCTTAAAATACTTTCTCGAAAACGTTGCTAATTCTTAGACTAATAGATATAGTAGGTTATATTATATCAAACACGTCTTGAATTGCAAGTAGAATCATAAGATGCAATAATATCCATTATAAAAAAGAAATTGATATAGTTATAAGTAGTTCTGACTAAGATTTCAGATTTATATCGTAAAGCCCCATATACTCACTATGCGCTGATCCGTTTCGTCGATGCGTTCTGTTAACGCGTCAATTTGATACACTAATGCGTTGAGTTGATGCGTTGTGTGACAGTTGACAGCGGAAAGTCGGTTTCTGGGCGAATTTTTAAAAGAAATATCACGAATTCAATGGACAAATTTCTAAACGAACCAACAAATTGCATCGACGCTTGGCATTGACGAACAGCATCATACTGACATTGACGCATCGGCGCATAGTGAATATATCCAGCTTAAATAATTCCACATCAACTTCTAATAGGACACTTACTTAATAACCCTATACAGGGTGTTTCAAAAAACATGTGCCATCTCTCGTGGGATAAGATTTATTTTTCATATCAACATAGGTCCGATTCTGCTTTGTTTCATAGCTACAGGGTGTTAAATTCTTAATATTTTTTCGATTTATCATAATTTTCTTCCAAGTACTTTTAGCGTTTCGAATTAAATTTTGAGGTAAAAGTTCAGTTTCCAATGTAAAGACATATTCACCAGGGACGTGCATGTGGGTTATCACTAGAATATTTTTCTAAAAAAAGCATGTAGGCCACTGACTTTTTTCCCTTGTTAGCGAAATAATGTAAGCAGTTTAATGCCTATTAAGCTTGCTTTTCATGCATCCGCTGTCCGACGATACGTTGATACGATATTCATTTTATTGGTGGAATTTAAAGGCTTCGTTTGGTTAACCGTTTCTAAATAATCGAAGTCTTTAAATTCAACCAATAAAATTAATATCGTATCATCGTATCGTCAGACAACGGATGCATGAAAATCAAGCTTTAAAAGTTGTATCTTGATATTTTGTCGATATCGGCCTCCTTGATGTGGTAAACGCAATTTTATTAATTTGCTTTAATCCAAGTCTAACAGAAACGTTAAAGAAAATATATCATTAACTTGCCAAAGATTTAGGTAAGTACTCGTTGATTCCTCATCAACAAATATGAAAAAAGTTCCTATAGACATGGATATGGAAATGCTTGTTTTTAGAGTTACAGGATGTTAAAACTTTTTAAAATTAGTTTTTTTGTAATTATCTTAAATACCATTATTTTTTTTTTATTTGAAATGGCTGTAGGTTGGACTAATAGTAATAATAACTAATAGTAATAATATTTAATAATAAGTTGGGTAAAATATATAATTTATTAATTTTATTTATTTTTATTAATTGTGATTAATAAAATTGCGTTTATCTCATCACGGAGGCCGAATTCGACAAAACATCAAGATATATCTTTTAATGAACATTTTTAGGGCACAATTTTGATATCAAAAGAGAAAACTCAGTGGCGCACATGTTTTATTTTAGAAAATATTCTAGTGATAACCCATATGTACGTCCCTGATGAAGTTATCGACACTTTTTTTGCATTAAAATATGTAGCACTTATAGTAACATTTACCCTCAAAATTTCATTCAAATCACTTGTAAAAGTACTTGGGAGAAAATTATAACAAATCAAAAGATTATTATGACTTTAACGCTCTGTAGCTACGAAACAAAGCAGAATCGGACCTATGTTGATATGAAAAATAAATCTTATTTTTACGTGGGGAATCTCCCCACGAGAGATGGCACATGTTTTTTGAAACATCCTGTTTACCTACTACATAACTGATTTGTATATGATTACCACTTTATCTCCAATGTTAAAGTAATAGAAAAACTGAGATTTCCTTTTTGTATTTTTTGGTCATATAAAATTTAGGTACAGTAAAGCAAGTAATCGAGGCCTATTATAGACGTATAGTCGATCTTGAAAATAAGAAATACGATCTCGAAAAGGAAGTGGAATTCAGAGAGTTTCAGGTAGAACTTGAGGGCCATAGTAATAATAATAATATTAATGAAGGGCATGATTTGAACTTGAAATTAAAAAATTGAGATTTCAGCACCGCGTAGGACTTTGTCTCTTTGGTGAAATAACATGCCACGTATTAAGTAGATAGCTTTTGCACAAGGCGTAAATTTTCTTTTTTTTTTTTGAGTGCTGTGTAGTATATTATTTACGTAGAAAAAGATTTTCACTGTTTTATTAAATTTATGAAGAATTTTAATAACTGACTGTATCAAAAATACTGATTTTTGTTGGTTTAATCGCAGTAACAAATTCAATAAATTTGAGATACAGAACTCGATTTAAAAATTATTCTAAAAGTAAGTAGAAGAACATGCTTTTATCTTTGCTGCACCTGTTCAATCCAATAATATAAAAATAATATCAAGAAAAAGAGTAGAATAATTTGATTTGCTTTGTATTTTCATCGTGACATACTTCTAAGTATTAGAGATAGAACTTTTTAGTAAAATATTGCATTGATATACCGAGTGCGTCTCAAAAGTGGTTCACCGCTATAACTTTTTTATTTTTATTTTTAGATAAAAGAACGAGATTTGCTATGTTAGTATATAACATAAATGGATTGATTGACGTATTCAGTTGTTTTTGTTATTTCCTGTTTCACCGGAAATAACTACAACTTTTGATTTTTAAATAGCACTCTCGGTATTTTTTACTTTATTCGATAGAAAATGATACTCTGAATAGAATTACATATCATATGACAACTTTTGGCATTCTTGTTTAAAAAAAATCGTATTCTAAATTTCACTCTAGAGTACCATGGCTATGTTAAAAACACTAATTTTTAATCAAAGAAAACACTTGCAAACATAGATTTGATCGTCTAATGTTTTAGTGTCTTGTCCTGGCCGGTTAAAGGATGCCCAAATTGTATTTTTAATCATAGAGAGGAACGAGGATGGCTCATTAGCATATTTGGAAAGAGCATTTTTTTACGAATAATTTGATACCACATACTTGGTATTTCGAGTCAAATTGTTACACAATTTCAAATAAACCATATGCGAAAATTTCAAAAGTTGACATATGATATGTCATTCTATTCAGAATGTCATTTTCTATCGAATAAAGGAAAAAAAATACCGACGGTGCCATTTAAAAATCAAAAGTTGTAGTAATTTCCGGTGAAACAGGAAGTGACCGAAAACAATTGAATACGTCAATCAATCCTAATTTATGTCATATACTAACATACCAAATCTCGTGTTTTTAACTGAAAAAATAAAAAAGTTATAGGGGTGAGTCACTTTCGAGACGCACCCGGCATATTCTAGAAATTTTAGATGATGCATCTCGTAAAGGGCTGAAATTTTTTTTAGAAAAACAGTAGAATTTTTTTTCATATTATATTTAAACCGAGATTTAAACGATATCGTATATATTTATTCTCTAAACGACTACTAAAATAATATATGTAACATATAATATGTATGTTTAATATTGTAATTTTAACAAATTTTTAAAATATTTCAGATAAATCACAAAAAATAAAAGAATAAAAATCTATATTTATTTTACACAACGCACTCTTTTAATTAATTTTGTTTAAACAAAGTTTGATTTTTTATTTCGAGAAAATTGCCGCCAAATGCCATTTTTCCTTGCTTAGAGCTTTCAAATCTCAATAATTTTTATCAAATAGAAATATGTCTTTTTATTAATGAATAAACTAAAATTTATACCAGCTTTCAGCTAAAGAATTGATTCTCCGAAGAACATTAAATACCTGAAAATTACTTAAACACGAAAAATCTACATACACAAGTTAAAAACGAACACTTCCACGTTAAAAATGTAAATCATTTTCTGAATTTGTACTGTGTCATATTGAAATTGAAATTCGACGTTTATGCCGCTTTTATAAGGGTTTCTTCAGGAAAAGCAAAATGGAAATGCACGTTAAACTAACATGGAAATCAATCAAGATATACAATATACATACAATAAAAGGACATAAAGACATATCACAAATAACTTTATTTTTGTAGATATAAACCTGGATGTTTTCTTTCATTTTTTTAAAAAATATGGCCTCCTAAATACAATGATACAGAACACTAGAGGAATGGGTTGCTACAATGAAAGTTAAAAATGTTACAGTGAAAGTCGGAAATTCAGTGATTGTTAACATTCACTAGGAAATTCTAGCAATTACGGATTGGACCAGTGAACGTGGTATTTTAAAGAGATTTGTCGCCTTTTCCTAGTAATTTCTTACATTCGCTAGTGAAAGTAACATTTACTACTACTAAGGTTGCCAGTAAAAGTTATTCTATTGTAGAGGGCGAGTGTGGTGAGGAAGAATGTTGGTGGAAGTTAGAACAAATAAAACTTTTAAGAATATTGGATCATCTCAATATTCAACCTGATCCACATATGTATCTTAAAATTACAATTTACTTCTTTGGTGTATTTATTAAAAAATCATAATAAACATTTTACAGCGTAAAAAACAATTAAAAAAACATTTATAAACATAAGTTTACTTATTGGTACAAGTTTTTTTAATAATGTTCTTCATCGTGGACAAAATAAAGTATGCCCGAATTTTCTTCAACGGGTGTTATTCGTTTTTTCAAACCCGCTACGTCAAGCATATCAAAACGTTTAATAAATTCATAGTCACTAGACTAGGTTCCTTAATATCTTTTTCTCTTGCACGCTTAACTTTTGCTATGACTTCATTATATTGCAAAAATGAAAAACAAGCACTATTACATTCTTGCGAGTGCCTATTTTACCTTAATTTTTCACAGAAAATTTCTCCCACTAGGATAATACCGCACAGCACTTTTTACAACGATAACAGAACAATTATACATAACCACAAAAAAAGTGAATTTACGCCAGATGTCTGCCAACGTTGCCAACATTTAGCCCAATTTAATGTTACCCTTATATTGTCTATTATTCAACTTATCCTTATTTATCCTTATATTTTACAACATGTGGCCACCGTGCTAACTGAATCTTTCAAACTCACTGCTATCGTCCAGGAAATGTTAGCATTCACTAGTAAAAGTTGTTTTCAAAAATAGGTGTTGAATTTTTACTGGCGTGGTCTTAACAAATCAGTGAATGCGAGCTTTTACCAGTAATTGTTAACAATCACTGATTTTCAAAGATATATAGTTCATACCAAATAAACTTTTAGTCACGTGATTATGCTTGACCTGGGCACAGCGTTGTCCACTTTTACATATCGTCCCATTGCTGCCAAAAGTCACTAACTTACTTTTTATTACTTCCGAGAATAATGCGTCTAAAGATGAATTGCATTGCATAAAGATGTTATAGTTAGTAACTATTCGGTATTAAAATAAAACATGAATAGCCAGAAATCGTAGTTAATGACTTTTGCAATCGATTCTCCGCTTCAAAACATAGTTAGTGATTGAATTTGGTTGTTCGGAAAAATGTTAGTTAGTGACTTTTGACAGCAATGGACTTTTAATCAAAATCTTTAGGAAACAAAAATAAATTAATTATAAATATATAAACAGTTATTATTTACATTAACAAAACTCACCTCCTTAATAGCACTTAAGGGTCATTACTACCGCTGTCCCGTTCAAAATATTCTAATAAGGTTGCGATGAGTATTTTGAAACGGCTATTAAGCTATCGTGTACCACTTCGCACTAAAAAGAGGTTCTAAAAAAACAATGTTCGACTGCAAGGTCTACTAATTTTTAAGCTTAAAGTATCACAACACAATTTATTTAAACCAATAACTCGTAATACAAAACTAAAGTGTCAAAACGAATGACAATGTCAGGAAATAAATAAATAAATGTGGCAACTTGACATTATTAACAGCAGAGCTACCATCTAAATCCCCAGCGAGAAATTTAAATTCCAGTTTGACAGCCCGGCGCTCAATATGTCCATGGTTGACAACAATAAACTTATAAATCGGGCCCTCGATTACGTAACTAAAAGTTTAATTGGTATCGAATATATGTGTTTGGCCCATCCATATGATTCAATAAATTGCTTGTAAGGTATATGGTAACTTTATAGCCTTGTTTTGCCCCTTCAAAAAAAGGCTCTTACCATTTCGATCTCAGTATGTCACGGTATAAATCTGGAATATGTTACGGCCGGTCGCGAAAGGCTACGTTTTCACATTCAAGTTATGTTGTTTCTTCTAGCTGAACTACAAACGATATGCCAAAGCTACTACCAAAAGATTTGTAAACTCGAAGGGGATAAGTACGATTTAGAAGTTATCGAACGTATTAAAGCTGCAGAGGTACTCTTTCCTATACACACGATACACAGGCCTTAAATAGATTTCATTTTCTAGTTCATATAGTAGGCCCAACGAATCGCTAGAATTATAGATAATAGAACTCAAAAATAACGTAGAACTTATCAATTTTGTCAAGTCAGTTCAGAATTCTAGAATAAAATACTTACCTGGTATGTTTTTATTGTAGACTTTTTGTAATATTCTGCACTGGATTTACTAAAATGTTTTTTTTTTCATACCAACTGTTAAAATTGCTTTATATCTATCAAAAATCGTAGATAAAATAGTACTTTAACCGCAAGGGTAGATTAAATGATACTTTAACAGCGAGGATAGGTTAAAAACTTTATTTCTTCTCGCACGTTTTTTAATTGCTTCAATTTTTGAAAATTTTTGTATTCCTTTTCATAAGTTATTCGGGATTTAAATGGAAGTAGTTTGGATATGGCGTTTGTCGCCTCAGCCTGAATATCTGTTGGTAATTTACTTATTTCGTTTTGAGCCATTTCTGGCTCCAATTCAATCAGCAATCGACACGAAAGAGAATTAAAAAATATTGACTCAAAACTGACAACTAAAGAGACAGCTTTATTTATGTGTCAAATTACATAGAAACCAACGCCAACCCAGCACAATATTTTTTCTAGTCGTAATAAATTCCTTGAAATAATAAAAAAATTAAAAAAAAAA